ATTGTTATCTGATAATACAACTGTTACTAGTATAATAACATTTCAGAGGTTAGGATTGTTATCTGATAATAAAACTGTTACTAGTATAATAACATTTCACAGGTTAGGATTGTTATCTGATAATACAACTGTTACTAATATAATACCATTTCCCAGGTTAGGATTGTTATCTGACAATAAAACTGTTACTAATATAATAACATTTCACAGGTTAGGATTGTTATCTGATAATACAACTGTTACCAGTATAATAACATTTCCCAGGTTAGGATTGTTATCTGATAATAAAACTGTTACTAGTATAATAACATTTCACAGGTTAGGATTGTTATCTGATAATACAACTGTTACTAATATAATACCATTTCCCAGGTTAGAATTACTATCTGATAATACAACTGTTACTAGTATAATAACATTTCCCAGGTTAGGATTGTTATCTGATAATAAAACTGTTACTAGTATAATAACATTTCCCAGGTTAGGATTGTTATCTGATAATAAAACTGTTACTAGTATAATAACATTTCACAGGTTAGGATTGTTATCTGATAATACAACTGTTACTAGTATAATAACATTTTCCTGGTTAGGATTGTTATCTGATAATACAACTGTTACTAGTATAATAACATTTCCCAGGTTAGGATTACTATCTGATAATGGAATCTAACTTACTAGAACAATAATTACCATATTAACATTACTATATGATGATGAAAACTAACTTACTAATAAAAATCCACGAGAAAAAAAAACTTTCGTAATGCATTTCAGAAAATTTAGGAATATTGTTTGTTTTGTATGCTTATAAAGATATAGATCACACTTATCTATGAATGATATAAACTTTTTAGTGATTAAGGAAACAAAGTAAAGATAAAAAAACAGATTCATAACTTTCTGTTAATAATGCTAGGTATTTTTTAACATTGGAAAGAGTCTTTGTGTTTCTCTATATTGTTATCGTGCATAATAAGTACTTTACTTATTTTTTATCACTAATTACAATATGCCTATTATGGTCGATGATCTTGTGTACTTTACTGTATTTCGGTTTAGAATATATTCCAAATTAATAAAATTGTACTTTGTTTTCTCTATGAGATTGTAAGTCGAATGTGTGTGGGGCTACACACACATGTGTGTATTGTTATCTTGCTCGGGGAAGCGCCTACTGTCTACCTTTGACGTGTGCCACGTGTCATGCGCACGATCCTCGCACGTTGCCGCGAAACTCAACCCAGCAGCTGTTTATCATGAGATTTGTACCTATTCTTCATTGGCCCTGCATCTGTTCATAGAAGCACCTAAAAGGAACAATGTCCTTTATACCCCGGTCATTCTAGTCATGGACGTAAGTCTGGATAGACGTGCACTGGAACTCTTCTAGTCGAGAAACACACCTCGGGGAAAGCATCTGTATATTATCCAGCCTTAAGATGTCGGCTTGGAAAGAAGAGCAGAGGAGACAGATCGCTGGAGATTATAAATCAAGTTTTAACATTAATGACAATGAAACTACGCCGAAGTGTCTAATACGATCAACATTAGATGTGTATAAATCTGGTGATAAACAGTATTTAAATACTCAGGGATGTTTTTCTTCAAAGTGCAAAATCTACTGTTTGTGTAGGGATTCGCAGGTTTCCAGTTTTATGCTACTTAATTCCTCAGTCAAAGACCTCCTAGTCACATTACATAATTGTAGAGGTAATTACCTCGCATCTTTCGGTGATAATAGTACAGGCATACTGAGTTCAGACGACCAGCAGGCTGATAACCACTATATTTACAGCCCAAGCTCTAGTAAAATGAGCTATTCAACAAGGCACGAGCTTTCTAGCAGTAACTCGAGCACCTTAACCAGTAGGTTTAATGATAGCGAACCATACAGTGAAGCTCTTTCTGTTTCTCCTCCACTTTGTAGGCTTCTGAAAGATGTTAGGATCGACAGTCCTGAACAGCAGAGGGCGCTAAGGAGAAACAAATCTCTTCCTGTAAGTAGATGTTTAACTTGTCCAGTTATTATTTCAGTGTATTTTATTTACAGTGTTATGCTAGCTTCCTGATCACGTGAGAGGTTATTTATTTCTTTTAATAAACATTCTACCCTTCACCGAAACTGTGTAATAAAAAAAATCGGCACACATTGGGTAAATATCTCTATCAAAGAGAAATAATAATGAGTTGTAATTAAAATTTCAAAAAAAAATCCTTGTTCATCACACTTTTCTTGTAATAACAGTAAGTTTTTCATATCTGATACTAATTATAATATGGGAACTGTTTCCTTAGTATTACTTAGTTCTGGTTATCACATAGTAATACTAAATTTGAAACTGTTGACGTGGTATCAATTCTTATTTGTGAACTGCTGTCCTAGTAACAGTTGGTTTTCATTGCTAGATAGTAATTATAATCTGAGAACTGTTGCCCTAGTAGCAGCATTATCAAATAGTAATTATAATCGGTTTTCATTATTGGGTAGCAATTATAATGTTGGAACTGTTGTCTTGGAAACAGTTGGCTTTCTTTGCTAGATAGTAATTATAATCTGAGAACTGTTGTCCTAGTAGCAGCATTATCAAATAGTAATTATAATCGGTTTTCATTATTGGGTAGCAATTATAATGTTGGAACTGTTGTCTTGGAAACAGTTGGTTTTCATTGCTAGATAGTAATTATAATCTGAGAACTGTTGCCCTAGTAGCAGCATTATCAAATAATAATTATAATCGGTTTTCATTATTGGGTAGCAATTATAATGTTGGAACTGTTGTCTTGGAAACAGTTGGTTTTCATTATCAGATAATATTTCTAATGTTAGAACCGTTGTCCTAGTAACAGTTTTATTTTTGTTGTTGTTGTTATAAAATAGAACTCTAATGTTGGAACTGTTGTCCTAGTAAAGTTAGTTTTCATTACCAGATGGTAATCCTAAGTTAAGAACTGTTGTCCTAGTAACAGTTGATTTTCATTATCAAATAGCAATTCTAATGTTGGAACTGTTGTCGTAGTAAAAGTTAGTTGTCATTACCAGATAGCAATTCAGATGTTGGAACTGTTGTCATAGTAACAGTTGGTTTTTATTACCAGATGGTAATCCTAATTTTGGAACTTTTATCCTAGAAACAATTGGTTTTCAGTATTAGATAGTAATTCTAATCTTGGAACTGCTGTCATAGTAACAATTGGTTTTCAATACCAGGTAGCAATTCTAATGTGTTAACTGTTGTCTTCAAGTGTAAAATTGTTATTAGAATAAAGAAATATCGACTTTTTAATCATCACACTTAAATACTAACACAATAAGGCACATAAAATTATCTACTAAAACACACTTAAATACTAACACAATAAGGCACATAAAATTATCTACTAAAACACACTTAAATACTAACACAATAAGGCACATAAAATTATCTACTAAAACACACTTAAATACTAACAGAATAAGGCACATAAAATTATTACTAAAACACACTTAAATACTAACACAAT